TTTCTTGCTTTATGATAGTCCGCAATCGTACATCCTAATATCTGATCTTTCCAAGACGAAATGTGCTCATATTTGGAAAGACCAAACACATACCGTGTGACATTATTAAACATAACGTTAATTTTACGAGCAGAAAAACTGTCATGTTTGCTGTATACGACTTCAGAGTACATGATGACCGGAAGAATAATTTGTATAGCAAGTCGGCGTCTGGTAGCAGTGGGTGTATAGATAGATGACTGCCTAAGATTCCTCAGAATGAGATAGACCTTACTAACTATGGAGTTTACATGATCCGTGCATGTAAGATTAGAGTTAATAATGTATCCTAAGTTTTTAATCTTGCTGACTAATTTTAAGGGATAATTGTCTATGAATATTGGGAGCAAAAAATCCAGATTTGTCTGTTTTCTAGCACTGATTGGCAGCACACAGCACTTGTTTTTATTTAAAATTAGACCGCTGGCAGCCGCCCAGCTAGAGATATCAGCCAAGTCAGTATTAATGCTTTTACATAACTCTTTAGCTTGATCAAAAGGTGCAGATAAATATAACTGAATGTCATCAGCATAACCATGCAGGTTTGAAAATTTGCACACACTAAAGATGTCATTAATAAATATGCTGAAAAGCAGGGGGCCAAGGATCGAGCCTTGAGGCACCCCTGAAGTAACTGACTTGAGTTGCGACCTGTCAGCAAGGTAGCTTTTCACTAGCTTTAAAGCACTACAACTCAAACCATAGTACGCTTTCAACTAACTTACAGTTTAATAACTCATGGTTGACCATATCAAATGCTTTTGAAAAGTCAAGTAGGCAAAGCAAGGTGAATTTATTTTCATCCATGTTGGTTCGAATATCATCACTGATCTTTAGTACCGCAGTACTACAGCTGTGATTTTTCCTGAAGCCTGATTGAAATGGAGATATTAAGTTATGCTTGCTTAAAAATTCGTTTATTTGCTTAGCTAAAAGCATCTCAAAAACTTTAGACAATACAGAGAGGATGCTAATTGGTCGAAAATCAGACGGACTACAAGGACGGTTCTTTTTAGCGACAGGTAGTACAGTGCCAATTTTCCATTGCTCTGGGAAACAAGACGTGGTAATACAATGATTAATATTTAATATAATTATAATTATATATATATAATTTTAATAAATTTAATTGGTAAACCATCATGCCCTATTGCATTGGATGAGATTTTAAATATACTCATTGCAACATCATATTCACTAACAGCTGAAAATTCATCCCTGGACATAAAGTTAATAGTGTCACTGTGTGGTACACAGTTTAGAAGAAAAGCATCATTAACCACATTTGCTTCTAAGGAACATTCGACATTCTCCTTACAATGAACACCAAGTCGTTTAATGTTACGCCATAGAACCTTTGTTGAGAGATCAGAATTTAGTTTCTTGTTAAAATAAGCTCGTTTTTCATTTCTGATAACAAGCGTCGCTCTGTTTCGAGCCGATTTAAAGGCATTCCAATTTTCCAACGTGGGTTTCTTTTTCCATATGGAATGAAGTTTATTTCGTAACTTAATTGATTTCAGAGATTTTGAGGTAAACCATGGACAGGACATAGACTTATTAGTGATTGTACGAATGGGGACATGTCTCTCGAAGGCAAACTTTAAAATTCCCATTAAGAAATCCAGTTTTTCATTGGTAGATGGATATATCCAACATTCGCTCCAGTCTACACAATACAATTCCGAAAGAAGTAAATTCGTTTTGACAAAGCGGTAATCTCTAAATGAGATAGTCTTATTTATGCAACAACGATCGATATTTATGTCCAAACAGTAGAAAATGAGATCATGGTCGGATATAAAAGTTAATATGTACATGCTTTTAAGAATTTTTGATTGTATGTATTAGAATTTGCATTTTTTTATATATATAATTATTTTTTTTTATCTTTTCTGGATAACATCAATTAGGTATGTACCTACGAGTATATAAGTCGTTAATATTAGTTTTATATATGATGGTAGAGGTTAGATAACTTTAGGAATTTAATGATTTGAATCATATTATCTATGTTGGGATTGGGAGGGTTTATTGTAATGGAATATTTGTCTTCTCAGGTTCGATGAGGCGTGGCAGGAGTCGAGGATGTGTTCAATGGAGGTTGGTAATAATTTTGGCAAGTTAAGAAACTATTTATCTCTTTTATGTTAAAGTTTTGGGTATATATGAGGGGAATACATGCTGCTTCCTTAGCCGTTTTATCTGCTAGCTCATTAACAGTAATGTAAATAAAGAATAAAATTGAAAAGAACAAATGAAACGTAAAAATACATATTATGTATACATACGAGTATATAAAAATCTTAAAACATTTCAATAAAATTAAGAATTATAATATAAGAAATAATTCAATATTTGATTACTAACGACATCAATATTCATTTAAATAATAATTTTAATAATGCTAATTACATATACCTACATATACATATTTGCTGAACTAATTTGGAGTCGTATCGAGAATCTCGCCGATCTTGGATTATTTCGCAAATTTCGTGAGAGCGGTACGGCATAAGCGTATAGAGCATTAAAGAAAAATGAGCGGTTGCTTGCTTATCTGTTTGGTTCGTCGCAAATCCCGGCTTGCTCGTACTGGTTTTGTTGTTGTCTTGTTTTTGTTGTGGGTAGTGCGTACGTCTGTGGACTTAACATCTACTCAGATTACTATCTTGTCACAGCAAAGATACGCATCCTCCTCTGTATATCAAAGAACGCCCGTTAACAAACGCAACGATAGTTTGACGCCGAAAAGCTGCGATCACAACAGACTTCAGAGCGGTTTTCTACTAGACCAGCAAACCTGCTTTCTAATGCTGACATCAGGCCGTCCAAGAGGGTCTAGGCGAGTAGGTCCTTGCATTTATTACATTTATTACAGCGGTCATATAAAGGAGCGCAAATTTAGTGTCGGATTTATGGTGGGAGAAAGACTCCGTCGCCGAGTACTGGCATTCGCCCCGGTGTTTGAATGACATAATCCGCATCTAAGCGAAATTTTTTAACATATCCCTGATTTGCCCCCACGTCCCAACGAAAGAGAAGGACGCTGCCCCGCTTGACGTGAAGGTCGTGTTTAATGCCAGGGTCGGCAAAGAAGATATCTTTGGTACAACTGTCGGAAAATTCAGCCTCCACAACAAAACATCCTCTAATGGGTTGAGGCTAATCGACTTAGCCCGTAATCGAAATATGGTTGTCTGTAGTACTACATTCCAACAGAAAAAAACACATCAAGCTATTTGGCTATCCCCTAATCGATAAACACAAAATCAGATCGAGCGGAGCGGAGTAATAGACGGAATATGTGTCTCCAGTGTTTTTGACGAGGACCCAACATCGACTCATACCAATATCTTGTTGCAGCGAAGATGCGCATCCGCCTCTGTGCATCAAAGAACACCCGTCAACAAGAACAATGATAGTTCGACGTCGAAAAGCTGCAATCACAGCAGTTGCGATCGATCACTATACTTGCGGAATGGGATAGATACCGAGAATTGATGAGGGAAGTAAGACGCATCTGCTGGCGATATAATAAATAGGCCGAGATGCGTGAGTACGAAGAGCTTGAGAATCTGGCCGAAGAGAGTAATGCTTGAAAATTCCGTGAAAATATACAACTGCTTACAGACTCTTTTAGAACACAAAGAGGTGATCTAGCGACCGATGCCCAGAGTATATTGAATTTATTGAATTTTACACTTCTCCAGCCTGCTGAATAGTAGTGAAAATAAAGAATGCGGAGATGGTGAACTCGAAATCTCAATCGATGGCGATGGAAAACGCGTTCCATTATCTGACCATGAAGAAGTTCGCCCGCTTAAAAAACAAATATTCAAACATGGCAGTGAAGAGCTGACAAGGTGCATGCATCAGCGACTACACAGAATATGGTCGGACGAAAGCAAGCTCGACTATTGGATTTAAGTGTTCTCTGCCTAATCGAGAAAAACGGGGACCCCACAGTCTGCGCCAATTATAGTGGGATATGCCTCCTTAACATCGCCTGTAGAGTCCTGTCGAGCGTACTGTGTGAAAGAGTAGAGCTTACTGTCAACAAACTGATTGGACCTCATCAGTCATACCCAGTATGCGTCAAATCTTGGAAATGACCCTCGGTAGAAGGCCTCAACAACGGTAACGTTAGGTTTATTTTCTCCAGACTGGATTAGGAAGGAGGCGAATTGGTATGGTAGTGAACGAGCTCAATATAAAATATCTCCGCACTTTGGTCTTTGTTCACACCTCACAGTCGGAACATTGAAGTTGTAGATAATTTTGTATATCTAGAAACCGGCATAAGCACCAACAATGTCAATCTGGAATATTCGATTCAGTGTCTCGCGGAAGCAGAAAAACACCTCTACTGGATTGGAAATATGATGTGGGAAAGGAACTGGCTTCATTTTGTATTTACGTGAAATTATTCTTCGATTAACTATAAATTTATCGCTACGATGCAGCCTTGATTTATACAAATAATGAGGTTGAAAACTAAAGGCAACCTCCGGGGAATTGCTATGCATGTATATACATATGTACATATGTTTGCACTATATTAGAAAAAATAGATATAAATGAAAATAAAATCTCGCTTCTTTTAGCCATTTCGCTGATATTTACGGTCAATGGTGTTTTTATTTATATTAATTATTAATATGTATATGTATTTTTTTGTATAATATATAGTCGTATAAGTTATAGATAGCATTAATACATACAAGTAAGTTACCAATTATATTTTTTTCAATATTTCGTTCTTCACTTTATACAGTTTTTGTGTTTCAATTCTTCATAAATGCTAAATAAAAAATGTCCGCTGTTTCCGATTTGAGAGGAGAATTTGTACAACAAAAAATTGTTTTGCATTAAAATTGTTTTGTATACAAAGATTTACACGTGTAGCCAAGTTTTTGAAACGATTTTGCGTTTAAAGTATTAATGAACTCAATGTATTAAAATGAGAGCTAAAGGCAAATGATTTCTTTATTAACTATAAGTTGATGTATAAATGTATTTATGTATGCCAGATTTGTTATATTACGTGGCAAAGAAAAGCGTAAAAAACACATTTGAATTCACAATGTTTTCATCTTTACAAAAGATCTAATGACTAAATAAATTTATGTCGTAAAAACCGTGAAATCCCTCATTATAAACTTCGAACGACTGCATCCATAAGCCGAAACTATATTTCAACTGTTATCTAATTCAATAAACATTGTATTCAACAGCGGCTTCCTGAAAAACTTAAAACGAGCTTATACATAATTTTTACAAACTTAATCCACAATATCAACTCGGATTAAATCTAACAAAAGTGATATTATATATAAATGCTCTTATAGCATTTTTATAGCTTTTTCTATCATTTAAATTATACATTTTATAAGCAACTTACTTAAAGAGATTAATTTCATGTTTAATTTATATTTGAATTATAATTAAATAAATTTAACTGATTATGTAGGTTATTCACCGAACCAAGATACTGTTCGGATATACTTTAAAAACATTTTCATTTCATCTACTCCCTTTTATCATTAAAAATTAAAGCGAAACTTTGAACACCTTCCGAAATGTTAAACAGCTCCCAAGTCGATATATATTATATTAAGTCTAGAACACTATATTTAATATTTTTTTGAACAGTTTTTAATATTAATATTAAAGTTATAATAGAGGAAATTATTAATTAATAAGCGTATTTAGGACTTCATTGAAAATTTCTATTCTGTTATATCACTTATATTCATTATTGGTCCTTGCAATCTTTTATACAGCACCTCCGCCACCAGTAGGATACAGCTCTTCAGAGTATTTGGGCCGACATTCAGCACAAAACCACTTCCCGTGCGGAGCAACCATGATGCCCACACATTCGAAATGAAACCACTCGATAATGCAATTGTCGCCATCACAAGCAATCATTTCCGACACTTCGTCATAGGGACAACGACAGTAGCAATATACCGATTCACCTTCGCGCGGCTGACGGGCTCCATCTGGCGGCCGTATTGGATAGCGTATATTGTTGGCTTTAAAATACTGCAATGTTTCGAAATTTGGATTAGGTAACAGAGCTGGTGGTATCCTATGGTTAAACACTGTTGCCTGCGGCGTAGGTTGCACAGGGGCCTGTGGAAGCGGTGTGTGCGAAACGGGCGCTGGAGCCGGCAGGTGCGCAGGGTTACTCCATAAGTCTGCATTGGCTTGTACTGGCAGATCACCCGCCTCGTCTTCAGAAGAAGTATCACTGCTATCATCATCATCATCGTCGTCATCTGTATCTTTACTAGAAGAATACACTTGGGGTGTTGGAAAGTGTTCGGAACCACTGGCTGAAACATCATTGCTTAAGCTCAGCTGCAACGGTCGTATTTTAAGAGTGGGTATAGGCGGGAGTTTATTTGTTTTCTTTGTTGGACGTTTACGAGTCGATGATTTTTCAGAGCTTTCAGTTGAACGCTTTTTCTTTGAAGTAGAAGCAGATAAGTTGAATGAATCTCCACTTAGCGAATTTGATGGTGTACCGGGTGTTTTCGGTTTGCGGTTTTTATTCTTTGGATTCAAGATGCTTTTTGAAGGCGCCGGTAAATCTTCTTTCCTCCATGTCATTGGGGGCGGTGGTTGCGGTTTGATTGCTCGAGTGCCAATCATCAATGTTTGTCCCAAGTTAATTCCAGCTCCATCATCATCACTTGTATAGCCATAGAATTTATTGGGACGGCGAGCGCGCTTTGATCTCTTTAAAGAGCCATCCGCATCAGAGCAACTGCTACCCTCACTCATTCTACTGGGAAGGTTTGGTACTATCTGTCCAGGCATCTGCTGGTCGACGGACGCGTACGGCATATTGATATTGGGTTGCGGCGCCATAGGAAGCTCTGCTATTGCAGGTGGTGGTTGACCCATTTCATAACGGAGCAAATCTTCTACGCCACTGGGAGGCGCTGAGTTTACATTATCAATGAGTAATTTATTCTTTTCACCCTTCGCCCTCGCTGATGCTGATGTTGAGCTCGTTGCGCAGTTCGCCTTGGTGCTAGATTTGCGGTCGCGTTTTTTCTTTTTTGACTTTACTCTCGTCGTTTCACAAACAACGTCTTCAGGTAACGAGGGTGTGGACGGTCGGCTGTTTTCCACAATATCAAAATTATGAGATGGCGATAAGCGAATTTCCCGTATCAGTTGGGCACGTTTCTGCACCAGTAATTCGTTGGCGAGTTTTTGCGGATGCTCGTCATAGAATTCCTCATCGGTATCTGACTCAGCCGTTTCTAAATCTGACTCATATATTTGTGGCTCTTTTGGTGGTGATGGTGAACGTTCTGCTGGAGCCTCGGCAGCAACTTCTTTTACTAGCTCATCGTCAACAACATTTACAGTCTCTGATGTCGTGTGTTTCTTAAGTGGCGAGACACTTTCGCTCTTTTTTCTTAAGCGTTCTCGATCGGATTTCTTGCGATGTCGTTTACGGGATGTGTTCGACGCAGCCGATGAATCGCTGTCGTCGGAACTAGAGCTAGACGTACTGCTATCGCTACCACTAGAACTACACGAGCAATTTGAGCCACACGAACAACTTGAATCAGAGCTGGAACTAGAATCACTGGAAGAACTCGATGCAGAACGACGGCTAGATGTGCGTCTGGGTGATTTCGATACTTTATTGCGTTTTGTGGGCGAAATTTCAGGTAAGGGATTAGTTGGTGGCGCTACCGGAGGTGGACGGAACATTTGACAATAGTCGTGGTCAGAAAAAACAACATGCAATCGATGTGGTGTTGGATAATTATCTTCGTCAAAATCTGCTTCACTTTTAGGTACTGCTTCTTTTCCACTTTCAGAATTGGCATTGGCACTACCTTGTTGAGCCTGCAAAAAGTTTTTCCAAATTTCCAATACTTTGCCAGTACCCCTGGATTCAACATTATCTGTTTCTTCAAACGCTTCTCTCCCGTCACTATCTTCCTGACCACCTAACACTGATCTCTTTACATGTTCTGAACCATTTTCGTTGTCTGAAGGCGGTGATAGCATTACCTTCGGAACGAAAGAATCTTCATCGCCTCGAGATTTGCTGTCCATATCGGACTCGTCACTACTGTCAGTTTCGGAAAGATTCGGTGCAATTAAATTTAAATCTTCCAGAGATTCTTTGGAACGCTTGTTCTTCTTTTTCTTTTTCCGAGGTGTTTCCGAATTTTCTTTGTCAGCAGCTGGAGTTTCTTCTTTCGAAAAGTCGATATTTTTTACATCTAAAATCGTATTCGAATTAGGTTCGTCCTTCGCTTTGAAGTCGCCATCACTTCTTTCATGGTTAACGTTGCCTCGTGTTTCACTGACAGTGTCGGTACTTTCTTTTTTAATATCAATTTTATTATCTTTTTTACTTTCCTCGTCAATGAGATCACTCTTTTCATTATCATTCACAGTTTCAGACTCTTTTTCTTCTTCTGTACATTTACTTCCAACGCTTTGATTTACTGATTGTTCCAAAGCTGCTGCATGCATTTCTTCCTGAAGATGTGATGCAGTATGCTTTAGTAGTAGCTTACGCGATATAAACTTTTCATCACAATTCTCCTCTGTACAAGGATAACGTAAATCACCGTTATGCAAACGTTTATGTACTTTTAAATACATGGCTTTTGAAAAGCACAGGTTACACACATCACAAGTGAATGTGCTCGGAGGCACACAAAAGTGATATATATGACGCCATCGTTTTTGCAAACATCTCTTACAAATTATACTTTCCGTGCCGTGTTTCCAAAAAAGATGTTTGGTAATATCCATTTTGTTTCGATAAGCTATACCGCAGCGATAGCAAACGTGATGTAATTTATGCTTCCATACGTGTGACGATAGCCGACCTTGATCACGACAATCTTCCAAGCATACGTCGCAGGCGAAATGGCGTTTGCGCAAATGTACCATTAAGCGAAAAGGTGAAGGGATGTTGTCTAATTCGCAAAGACAACAACGGAACTTTACATCGAATACAGATGTTTTGTTTGGCGCGCCTGGACAAATGTGGCACAAAATTTCACTAAAACTAAAAAAGTTAGCGCGACACATAAAGCAAAGTATTGCTGTTTTTAAGTGCATTTTCCTGTTATGTAAATACAGTTCTTTATGGGTTGATGTGGCGAAACGACATTGAAAACATTCAAAAATCCTCTCATTGAAGTGACGAGCGAACGTACCACCTCCCATTGTGCAGTAACTCCCTGAATTGAAAAATTCATTTTCTAGTATCGGCAGGAAGGTCTTCAATCTTGCACAAATAGTTTCGGGTTTTAGTTCTTCTGCTGTTATACTATCTACCGTAGCACTAAACCGGTGCTGTGCTAGCATATGCAGCACGAGACTTTGACCATTTACCGCAATACGGCGCGCATGATTACAGTATAAGCAGTAGGGATACACTGTATTCAGACATAAACGAACGAAATCTACAATTTCTATTTTTTCTAATGGGCGATCCAATTGTAAATCCAAAGGTAGCACATCCTCGTTAGCCACCTCAATACCGTCCGTTGGTATTGCATCCAACTTTGCTTTTATTTCCCTTGTCTCTTCGACTTCCATTTTCGTTGCACTTTCGCCAGGAGCCGTTGCGCTTTCCTCCTTCAAGGTAAGATGTTCTTTATCTACTAATTGTTCTTCTGTCTTCGGACTGGCTATATCTTCTGCGCTACTATTCAATATGTTCACAGTTGAGTTACTCTCCGATGTAGTATTTATTTCCTGAACCGTATTACTACTACCCGGAAGTACTAACGAGTGCCCATTTTCCGTCTCTCTACAATTTAAATAGTAATTACTATATATAAGAAATAAATACAGAGGCAGTCACATTATACCTTGGTGGTTCTTGCGGCGTCGATCCTGTTATAGTCTCATCTATATCCATTGCATCACTACCAGCGGAGTCCTTTCTGTGAAGAGATTTTATATTCGGCAGTTGCTGTTGTTGTTCTAGTTTTAACTGTTCGTCACTTGTATCAGCAGTATCGTTTTGGATCTCAAGCGGTGTTGGACAACGCATTTGTTTCGGAGAAATTGGTGGGGTTGGAGTCCAGTTGCGTGTGCTTTGTGCCGACGTGTCCAACGGTTGGCAAGGCAAGTCTGGCCTCGCCTTTGGTGCATGATGCAGTGTTTCTTTTGTACGCTGAATGTCTAATTTAGTGCGTTCAATTTCTTGCAGGATGCGTTCAAGATTTAAGCTCGGTCCATCCACCCATTCCTCCTTGTCAACCGAGCAACTTTCTTGGCTATTTTCCCCATCTGTTCTCCTTTGTGATAATGTTGTTTCGGTAACACTATTATTTTCGATATTTGAACTTTCATTATGTAAACTCGGTGTTGTATTTCCGACATTATAACGGTTTTTGACACTTGTAGGTTGCCCTTGGCCAGCAAATTCACTATACGCCTCTTCGTTTTCCTCATCGTCATCATCCGGTTCGCTATCAGTGGAGCTAAGCGCCACATCAACAGACTTTTGAAATTCCTTCGGAACCCTTAATTTAAACTTCGGCACTATTAATTTTGGCTCCACAGGCGAGTTATTTCTAGCAGGGAAATTATTCGTTTCGCTTTGATTTTGTGTTTGTTGCTCCAAACGCCAACGTTCATCGAGTTCCTTAAATGGGTTCACAATTGAACTGTGCGTTGTTGTGCAGGATTCATCAATGACCATATTACTATTGCTGTTACTGTCTTCGACATGTAGAGATGGAGCTGGTGCTGATAACGCATCAGTTGGTTCCACTGGCGCATGTTGATTGTAAAGATTGTTATCACAGTAAATGGGTGTCGCATTTGAAGAGCCATCAGCAAGCGCCGCTGACAGAAGCGTTTTGTGACTTCTGACAAAGAAAATAAAATAGAATATTGAATTCATAAATTTTTCATTGTATTGAATAGATTCATCAAGAGTTTAATATTTAAGATTGGTTTTAAATTGGAAAAATTAATAATAAATTAAATAAATATTTTAACATGCCTCGATATACTATAGCATTCATAATGTAATCAATGACTATGTGCATCTAGATAAGGGATGTATATGTTGCTACATACTACGCACTATTTCGTGAAAACTATTTCAGAATTAGCTGTTTACTTTATGCATTGCTTACCTATCCGGAATTGATTTCTTTAATTTTTTCTTTGCTTTTGAAGATCGCTTTGCATCTGGATGTGCCTTACATTGGTTGCTGTGTCGACCTTTCTGTCCACAAAGAGTACACGGTACCATGAATTCGGCACAATTATGGTCAGAGAAAGGTTCTGTTTCTTCGAACAAATGTTGACATGTACAGCACATTAGGAACCGTGTCTCAGTAGGAGTACCGTTGGATTTAGATACACTATTCCTCAGCGCTTCCAACGAGGTAAAATGGTTTTGCTCGAGATCGTGTTTTATTTCCAAATGCAATGACAGCTTTTCTGCTGTGGGGAAGAAACGTATACAATAGAGACACATATGTCGCTGATGTTTGTCGCGAATGTGCAAAAATAGATTCCAATTTTCGTGAAATGTATTGCAACTGGAACACTTGTAATAACGTTTTTTCTGAATTTCTTTTTCTTCCTTGGATGGCGCTGTGAATGTTGGTGCTGGTGTTTGCGAAGTTGCATTACTCGCAGCCACATCTACAGTAGCCTCTGGTGATGCCGAGGACGGTGGTGTTGCAAGAACAGGGGCAACTACTAAAGGCAATAAGCTGGTAACTTCATCTATTCTTTCAGGCAGCAGACGTGTATCCGCTAAACATTCACGTTGATGCTCATTTAAAGCTGCGAAAGAATCGAAACTTCCCGTTTTACATTTGAAACATAGATATCTAGTAGGACTGGAGGTATTTTCTGTAATATTTTGAATTGGAGTGGACAACGATGAGGGAATATTATCAAAGTTAGTTCGTTCTAATTTTTGTGAGAATAATGAAGATTGTGCTGCAAAATCGACAGCTTTTTCCGGAGGAGGAGGTGGATTGTATGGTTTTTGTAAATGCTGTAAAAGCAATGACTTAAATGGTTGTTCAACATTTTTGTCACCTTGGCTACATCTTGACGCTTCTGGTGCTTGCTGCTCTAGTGTGATCTGTGCCGGCGATGATTCAGTTTGGGCACTATGAAATGGTGAGTTGTAATTTGCGTTCTCATTCACTTCTGTATCTATGTGTGCTTGTTTATGATGTGGCGATAGGCCAGTTTCACTGGTGTTACTCAATTTTCTCTTTAGTGACAACTTGAGTGCATTTTTGTTGGGCTTATCATGTGCTTGCGTTAGTGAAACACCTGTATTAACTCCGACGCTTGCAACTGATAGACCAGCATCGGATTCTTCCATTGGGTGATCGATAACCAACAGATGCGAAGACGATGTATCAGTTGAGTTGGATGGTACTGATGCTAGAGAACCGCAATTACTGTGTTCTCCGTCATAATCATGCTTAATTCGATCACTTACTACATTCATTGAATGACTAGATAAAGTTGCTTCATGTTTATGGTCAATGTCAACATCCATATTGTCATCTCTGCTCTCATATGACTCCTCAAATCTTTCTGAAACCAGAACTTCATCTGATGTTGATTCCTCCATGCCATGCACTACTCTAGTTTCGTTAGTTTCGTCTTCTATCTCTTTACGTATTTCTAATTCAGAAGACTCCGATTTGTGAGAAATGTGTAAGTTATGGCCACCATTCAACTTTGCAACTTTAGCTGGCTCTAAAGCACTCGATTCTATTTTTGATTCTTTGTCATTTATTACAAATTTTCCATCAGATAGCGTATTTTCGTTTTCTTGATCTATGCTGCTGCTGTCAAAAACATGGAGATTTGAATTATTTTCTTGGTGTATACCGTTATCCATTCCGTCTTTTTCATCTTCAAAACTACTTTGTTTGCTGCTCTCATCAATTTCGAATCTAGATAGCGATGAATCTTCATATTCCCTTACGGTCTTTACATCACCTTTGTCTGAACCACTTTTTGCAACATCAATAATTATGTTGCTATTTTGACTCTCATCTTCATTTACTTCATTTATATCTCTGGCTTCATCTATTTCTAATATAGTCGAAGGATTTTCATTAACGTAATCTTCAATTCTTTTCTCTGGTGAGCTTACTTTGGTATTAGTTTCATTTGTACTAATACTATGAAAGGAATCGTCATCGCTTGTAGCAAATTCATTTCTATGATCCTTGCATTCCCCATCGTCTATAGTAAATTCATCTCTGTTGTATTTGTATTCGGTTTCATCTCTGTTATCTTTGTATTCGTTTTCATTATCATTTTTATAACGTTTTAAATCTTTTCTACTCTCTTCATCTTCATGGACCTGTTTATTTTCTCCGACGAGCTTTGATGCATCTCTCGTGTCTGCGCCATAGTTATCTTGTTTACTTGTATTATTTCTGTTGTTGATTTCTGCGTTTGTGTTGCTTTCCGTGTTCATGTCCTGATTCTGGCTTCTTAGAGTATTTTCGTAGTTTTGTTGAGTGATTTCCGCTGCTTCATTTTTATAGTCTTCTCCTGTTTTTTCGGTTGGTCGCAACATCTCTTCTTGAAAGGACTTATCTTTTTCTGCCTTTTTTTCTATGGCATCGAAAGAAGTGTCTTCAAATTTTGATGTAGACGATTCTGCGATTTGCCCGCCATCTTGTGTAATTTTCAGTAAGCGTTGATCTGTAGTTGATTCTGGGTTTTTATTAATTTCTGAATTTATTTCAGTAGAATCACTTTCAACTGTTTTAACAACTACGAGTAAATCTTTTTGCTTCATGTCTCTATTGTCATTGGATTGATTGCACGTTTCCCGAGAATTTTCACCATTTAATCCAACTTGAGAATCATCGTTTAAATTCAAATGAGTTTCACATATTAGATTGCTATTTTGTGAGCGCCCTTCGACTGAATCGACTAAAAAATTAGTTTTGTCCACTTCTTGCTCGTTTGAAGACTCCATTGTTCTTTAAAATCTAAATATTTCGATAAAAACAAAATTAAAATATATTTGAAATCCTATATATTAACATAATACCTCTGCATTTTCCTGTCTCGAAACATTTGGTGATTTGAATCTGCTTGCACGTAAGACAAATTGGTACTGTTGGAAAACTAAATATTTGCCTGAAATAAAAACTCATATTTTAAAATTTTATGGGTCCTTTTAATAAAAAAAAGTACTGATAACCATCAACAGAGTTTATAAATTCTTATTCTATTCAACACGAAAACTATTTGTGGTATTATTTTATCAATTTTATACGTATTTTTCGGTAGATATGTCTTTTGGTTACACGTATAAACGGTACATCTGAATAGCCGAGAGGTTAACATTTGGTACTGCCATTAGGGAATGTCAAGCACTCAAATTGTATTTCTAACAAGAAAATTAAGATTCTCAGAATACTTCCTCTGCCGTTCGGAGACAGCTTAGAATTAATTGGATGGCTCTCTTCCTATTGGAAAAACTTCAAGACGCATGGATTGGCCATAAAGTGCTTAATTAGTCACAAAGCGCAAATTATTTTGTTATATAAATTCTGTTTTCATTACATTGAGCTTTGAGTCTATTTTTCAGCACTTTTACATATCTCATTGAAATTAAATTTAAACATAACTTATTTGAGTAGAAATATTTCTAATACTGCGGACCCCGCCATTATCACTGCGAAACATGAATGCTTAAGCACATGGTTTTCAAAGACTCAACGTTACTTAATTACGAAGAGAATAATGTAAACAACAAGAGTATGCATTAACACAAAAGAGAATCAAAGAAAGTTGCGCGCATTTCGTGCTTTTCTGGACTAAATGTTATAAGCAACTTATTGTTACATTTAGATATATTTTAAATTGTTTACAGTTTAATTTACCACTAGGTCACTACAAACCACATGTTTACCATTTAGTTTTACCGATCCATTTACATATATACATAAGCGTTTTTATTTTCAAAAGCATGAAAACATATTGCACACATATATACGTTTTATATTTGTTCTTTGCGTTTCTGTAGATATATAATTCAATGCACATAAACTTATAAACACAAACTCAAAAACATGATGCTATTATAAAACTGACACTACAGTTACAACAATTACAACTATTTCACAATTCCAGTTTCTCCTTAGCTGACACTTTTTAACGACACAAACCATGTGGAATTTTCGGAAAAGGGTTTTGCGTTTCGTTAAAGAATATTACGACCATTATTTATAATTTTTATCAAATATTCCTTTCTGTCGTTGGAAACATTGTTTTGTAAATTTTTTTAATAAAAATAAATTTCCGTAGAAAGCAACGCGGCTCACTTCATGAAATCCTTCTGCCACTCACCAGCGCTCGCAGAACCGACCAACCAATGACGACCACAACCGTGGCTGAGAAGCACACAACCAACAAAATTCACTTCGTAAATTTGCTTCCAATAGCAAATATTTCCTCTGGTTATTTTCAACTAACTAGAGACTACGCACTTTTTAAAATATTCACAAATGCTTTCCACTAATTTAATTTCAATGTTTCTTATTCAATTGGATGTTTTAAAGGGTTGCGTATTGAGAAAATTTGTGTTTTTAAAACGCACGTTTCCCAAACAAAAAATCGCGATTCTTGGCGTTAGCCATTTTCAAGCAGTTCTGCCAACATAATTATAACAAATGTCAGAACAAAGTCCACAAAATCCACAACCATCTATTACTGATTAGATTCTGCACAGTTGCCATGGCACGTTTATTTTTCAGACATATTCAAAGGTCTCGATGATTTTCCTAATCATTCGAGTTCGATCTTTGGATTTTTTATTGGTTTCCTAATTCTAAGGAGCTTAGTCGACGTTCATTTACTACAATTCACAATTACTAAATTACTATTCGCTTTACTCAACACTATGACTTATTTTACAACACTAAGGTTGTGTGCCAATCGGGTGAAATATATTGTTGCGAAAATGCGAGGCGAATGTCAGATGAAAGAGAGAAGCCGATAACTAGTACGTTCTAGAAACGATAAAACAAGAACCTTCCATAGCGAACAATTCGATGCTTCTACGCTTTCGTCTGCGAGCAGCCGACTGCTATATAAAGGCGACACTCAGCTGCAAGTCAAGT